AGCCTCTCAACCCTGAAAGGGTTAACCCTTTGACTGTCTCAATCCCCAATCCTAGAGTGTCTCTCAGTGTTGCAAAATACTTGAGAGAGAGAAAAAAAAAAAATCTACTGAAATGCTAGAGAATCTTTTCCTGATGCTAATGACACCAAAAGTACGAAATCTGATGGAAAACTTATGGAATTACACTCTCATGAAGTTAGTGATCTCGGCAATATTTACGCACTGGCGATTTCGCCAACTCTGAGCCCTCTTTTCGGCCAACTGAATTGTTCCAGTTGACCAAACTCATAGCTATTTCTTTAGAACTCCATTTGTTCTATCGACTGAGTACAAGAAACAGCCCATTTACCAATTTCAACTACCCAATAGTGGTCAGAAATTGGCAATTTGGCCAATTTCACGCAAATTAAAAAACATGCCAATTTCAAAATAGGGTCCAGAATGAACAATGCAGACATTAATGACAAAAAAAAAAGCATAATACCGTGACTGGAACGATACACAAATAACCCGCACATAGAAGAGAGGAGCTTACGACGACGTTTTGGTCCAACTTGGACCATTTACAAAGTCACACTAACAAAAAGGAGAGCAGGATGGGTTAGTGTGACTTTGTAAATGGTCCAAGTCAGACCGAAACATCGTTGTAAGCTCCTTTCTTCTATGTGCGGGTTATTTGTGAATGCAGACATTCCTGGCACTAAAATAACATTTTCTCTGTTCATTAGTCACATCTCCAGGCCCCTCTTATATTACTCCTACTTTCTATTTTGAATTTTTATTCATACAAAAAATAGAAGATTTACTGTTATGCAGACTACTGCATTATTGTAATAATTGTACAAATAATGTGAATCCATTCATGACTGCATATTAGAATGGCTAGTTGGACATTTATTGGACAATGATGTCATTTGTTTACTCTTGAACATCAACAAAAATCGAACATTTCCGCTGCTTTGAGCTCCATTTCAAGGTCCTTTACATAGTGAAAGGAATCAAAATCATCTCTATTTCTATGTCTTCCATTCTATCAAATGAGAACAAGAAAATGAGAATACAAAAATACTACTAAAATACTATACAACGAAAATACACCTCAAAGTCAGTGTTTTAATCCAAAAACACGGTCAGTTTTTTTTTTTTTCTCATTATACACTGCGTTCTGCGGGATTTTTTTTATACTGCACACACTGACCACACAGACCCATTCTCTCAAGCTTTCTCCTGCTTGATTTGAAGCCGCTAGAATACAGTATATATATGTCAAACACACTGGCTCGTAAGACATATATATATGACCGAAACAGTCAAAGGGTTAATAACAAAAGAACAGACAAAAAGATACACATCAATAATTACTAATCTAATATGAAAGTCTAAACAACTGTATTATGCAAGCAGATTTAACGAAATAAAAGGAGATGTGAAAAATACCTGGAAAACACACTCTGAAATCCTGGGCTCTAGAAAACTGTTCAGATAAACCATACATCCAGCCAGCAGACACTTCTAACAAAATTAATGTCTTCTTCTCTATTACAGGATCAGAAATAGCAAGCAAAATTCCAACCTCCAATAGTCAGGTGAAAGACTACCTCACTGGAAATTACCCAAATACTCCATATCTTGCACCAACAAAACCTACTGAAGTCTCACTAATAATTAAATCATTAAAAAACAGGCAGGAGACCTAAATAACTTGCCACCAATCATATATAAAAAAGTAGCTCATGTGCTGTCCACCATTATTGCAACACTATTCAACAAATCTGTTGAATCTTCAACATTCCCATCCATACTCAAGACAGCGAGGGTCACCCCAATCCGTAAAGGAGGCGATCCTACAGAACTAAATAACTATAGACCAATATCTAACTTACTTTTACTCTCTAAATTCTTCAATCAATCGATCAATTTTTATTTCTTGCAAATTTTACAATGTGTGATTGACATGTTATAAGGAGTCTTTTTCAATGCATAGTTTATAATGTGTAGCTTCAATATTGCTTTGCAAGAGCAAAGAAAGCCACTGACATGCCGAGGAATTTCGAGCTGACTAAACTTAGTGCTTTACAGACTACTTAATGCTAGACATATAGTACATCATAGTTGGTTTGAATTGAAAAGTGATTTTTTTAATATATCAATAGAGGTAGTTACAGTATGATATTTTGGCATATTATAATAATGAGATTTAATATCAACAGAGGTAGCTACAGTATTATATTTTAGCACACTATAAAATGACAGGATGGATAATGAGAACCTTCAAAACTAGGGAGGCCAAGCCCATGATGACACTCTTCAGGTCACTTGTTCTATCTAGGCTGGAATATTGCTGCACACTAACAGCACCTTTCAAGGCAGGTGAAATTGCTGACCTAGAAAATGTACAGAGAACCTTCACGGTGCGCATAACAGAGATAAAACACCTCAATTACTGGGAGCGCTTGAGGTTCCTAAAACTGTATTCCCTGGAATGCAGGCGGGAGAGATACATGATTATATACACCTGGAAAATCCTAGAGGGACTAGTACCGAACTTGCACAAGAAAATCACTCACTATGAAAGCAAAAGACTTGGCAGATGATGCAACATCCCCCCAATGAAAAGCAGGGGTGTCACTAGCACGTTAAGAGACGATACAATAAGTGTCAGGGGCCCGAGACTGTTCAACTGCCTCCCAGAATACATAAGAGGGATTACCAACAGACCCCTGGCAGTCTTCAAGCTGGCACTGGACAAGCACCTAAAGTCGGTTCCTGACCAGCCGGGCTGTGGCTTGTACGTTGGTTTGCGTGCAGCCAGCAGCAACAGCCTGGTTGATCAGGCTCTGATCCACCAGGAGGCCTGGTCACAGACCGGGCCGCGGGGGCGTTGACCCCCGGAACTCTCTCCAGGTAATGAGATTGTGAGAATTTTAGTTTTGAAATAATTTATAAAATTTTGCAAATTTTGGGTTGATGGTGGTGATAGTATATAGTGTTTGTGTTGTTAGTTTTGGGAGGCGAGGTAAGTTCTAAGTAGTGCCTTGAAATGGTGTGCAGGCAGGGGCCCTTCTGTATTATCAGGCAATGAATTCCAGATCTTTGGGCCCTTTATATGCAATGCATTAAACATCCAGTTAAACATATCGATAAATGGTTCCCCCATTACAAGACACACAAGAGGGCAAATTTCAAGGTCTCCCCCTTGACTGTAATGTTAAATTTCAGACACACATACAGCATATAAATAAGAAAGTTTCCAAAACAGTAAGTATCCTTTCCAAGATATGATACTATGTACCCCAAATGACATTCCTTACTTTATATCACTCTCTAATATACCCTTACCTCACCTATGGTATTTGTGCTTGGGGATCTACTATGGCCAATCACCTTAAACCTTTAAAAACACAACAAAATGCTGTGGTGAGCATGATCACAAACTCCTGCACAATCAACACATCCCATCACTCTTCAAGAGTTTGAACTTACTGAATATACAAAATATACACACTTATTATTGTGTCTACTGCATATACAGAACATTAAACTTCAATATAAACCCTCTGCTCAAACTTCTCACAGACAGCTACACCAGAACACACAGGCATAACACAGGCACAAAACACTTTTTTGACATCCCTCATGTCCGTCTCACACTATGCAAAAAATGCAACGTTTGTATCGCAAAAATGTATGTTTGTGTCATAAATTGTACTAACTCGTATTAATAACAGAGTAAAATATTAAATATTTGAAGCTTGTCTAGACTTTAGTAGTCTTTAAGTATTAGGTTCAATCTGCTCAAAATGCCTTGGCATGATAGTGGCTTTCTTTGTACTAATCAAATTATGAAATGTAAACACATTGCAACCTTTGCAAAGAAATAAACTTTCGATTTTTTTTAATTTGATTTTAGTATAAAATACACCATGTTAATGGCTCTCTTACTAGCCTACCAATGTTTCATTACATATAATCTACATCATTTGTACCACAGATAGAAGTAAAAATTGTTGAATTGTTAATACAACAGATGATCAGTAACCCAGGATAACTCACGACATGGCAGGATTATTACCACAGATGACCAGTAATGCAGGATAACCCAAGGCATGGCAGGATTATTACCACAGATGATCAGTAATGCAGGATAACCCAGGATAACCCAAGACACCCTAGTACTCTGGGTTATTACCTATGAGGACTAGTTTCTGCCCCAGGATGCCACCACAACCCTCTTGTTTGCTGCTGGGTTAAAAGGGATACCTGCTGGAGGCAAACTTGACACACATGGGGCCAGGAGCTGTGAATCAACCCCTGCATGCACAAATAGGCGAGTACATCTACACATGCCCAGGAATTCAACTTGGGTCCTCAGATTGTGAACCGAAGGCACCACCAATGTTCCCCAGCTTACTCTGACTATTAGTAAGTTCGGATAGTTAATATTATTAGTAGTTTATGCTGATAGTTATCTGATACTAATGGAGATGGGGGTAGTTATACTAGTGATGGTGGTAGTGATGGTGGTAGTAATAAAGAACAATAATGGTGGTGTCAACAAGAGTGTTTGTTGTGCAGGATAATAATGGTAGTAGTAGTGATGGTGGTAGTAATAAAGAACAATAATGGTGGTGTCAACAAGAGTGTTTGTTGTGCAGGATAATAATGGTAGTAGTAGTGATGGTGGTAGTAATAAAGAACAATAATGGTGGTGTCAACAAGAGTGTTTGTTGTGCAGGATAATAATGGTAGTAGTAGTGATGGTGGTAGTAATAAAGAACAATAATGGTGGTGTCAACAAGAGTGTTTGTTGTGCAGGATAATAATGGTAGTAGTAGTAGTGATGGTGGTAGTAATAAAGAACAATAATGGTGGTGTCAACAAGAGTGTTTGTTGTGCAGGATAATAATGGTAGTAGTAGTGATGGTGGTAGTAATAAAGAACAATAATGGTGGTGTCAACAAGAGTGTTTGTTGTGCAGGATAATAATGGCTGCGACTGACCTGCTCTTCTCTCTTTCCTTCCTTGCTGGTAACTCAGTCAAAATGTCAAATATGGAGGGGGTGGTATAGGTTGAGTCAGTGTAGCAGAGTGCAGGTAATATGTCAGTAATATTGTGCACCACCAACAGCACCACCACCAGCAGCAGCAGCAGATAAAACCTTCATCACTGTTGTCACTACACCTGACAACAACAACAACAACAACATGACCGGACAATAACAACACTACAACAATAACACTTTTACATTTTGTAAAACTAATTATATTTTTACTTATATTATAGTTATATTGTAATATAATACAGCAGATATTATGCAGTATTAATATTTATAAGGATGGAATATATTACAAACAATAAATCTAGCATATATTTTGAAACTTGTTGGTTAACGGAGCCAGGAAGATGACTCGCATTTCTCTCATTTAATAAGATAAGATAAGCTAATTAAATTTATTCAGGTACAAGCGAATATAAATAGTTTAATAAATTATCATACATAATTGTACATGTAGATTAACTAAGATAGCCAAAAAAGTTAGTAACTTACTGGGGTCCTTGTTCTCCATGTTCCACTAATTTATGACAAACCTGAGGCCCTGGGAGGCTCCATTACTTACACTCTACTCACATTGTTATGTCACGTACCAGCAAATCTTTTACTTGTGTTATACAACACAAACTATGTAACTGGGAGCTCCCTAGATAATGGACCAATACCGTCATTATTCTCATACCAAAACACAATCAACACAATGCATATTTCCCCCCCAATATCTCCCAGTAGCTGCTTGTGTAAAGTTACAGAAAGTTATACCACTTTCTAATCTATCCTCGCGTCACCTATGGTATCTGTGCCTAGGAATCTACTACACTAAATCACCTTAAATCATTTATAACCCAACAAAAAGCCGCTGTGTGGACTATCACCCATTCCAGTGCCAGACAACACTCCCCACTCTTCAAAACTTTGAACTTACTTAATTTATAAAATATCCACTCATATTACTGTTTCTACTATATTTATATAGAATATTCAGTTCCAACATTAACCCTCTGAAACTTTTCCTTGACAGCTGCAACAGGACACAAGACACAAGACACAAAACCTCTTTGACATTCCCTGTGTCCGTCTCAACCGGTGCAAAAACTCACTGCGCATAAAAGGTCTGAAGATCTGGAATTCATTGTCTGAATCATGGAAAGGTCCCCTGTCTGCCAGTCGATTTACAGCTTTTGTTAAAATGCACCTCATCTTCCTAACATAACTGAACCAGCAATTAGCTACGTCAAACAAACCAGCTCATCCAACTCTGTCTCATTTTGCTCCATTATATTCCTGTTATGGTTGTAATGTAATAATGAAAGGCAGAGTAATGATAACAAATGTGTATTCTCCACAGCCCCGGTGACAACACAGCAGATGTAGAAGTGCAATGAAGAATATGTAATCAGTCCTTGTAGAAATAAAATTTGAGGTGGTCAGTCCCTCAGCCTGAAGAATGGAGTCGTAAATGCTGTCGAAGGTGAGGTGGAACATCTCGAAGACATTGCAGGAGACGGGATTCACTAGTAGAAGGCAAGAATTGAGGAGCACTTCAGCAGGCCTACTGGCCCATGTTATGCAAGTCCTTCTGTAATCCAACCCTTCTCACTCATAACTAGTGGTTATGCCATGAAGTATTGAAGACGTCCTCTGTACCAAGATACCGTTGTATTGTAGTACCTGATAGTTATGCTCAAAATGTAATAAAACACCGACAAGTTGATGAAGACACAAATGTGCACGACTCACGAAACCGTAATGACACGATTGCAAACAAACCATACCACGGGCGGGGTTAGAACCCGCGATCAGAGAGTCATAAAACTCCAGACCGACGCGTTAGCCACTGGGCCAGCTAGCTACAATAATATACGACGTCGTCCCAAGATGAGCTTCTCCAACAGAGTCAAGATAAAACCATCCAGTGGTAGTATCAATGACTCCACCAAGCTTGCCCTTGCTGTGGTAATCAGGGGTCTACAGGTCAAGATTAATACCATCCTCTCACTCCACGAAGCCTTCATTATTGTCTGTGAAGACGATGTTGAAGCTGAATAACTACTGACCTCCTCCGCTTTGTCCACTCTATCAGACCGTGGCTTCAAAGTCATGTCCTCTCCTGCCTTACGGGCTAAGAGGACTGTCTTCTTGAAGAGACTTGACAAACTGATTACCATACAACCTGTTGAAGACCTAAAGACTTCCATAGAAGAACAAAATCCCTGGGCTACAGTTGAAAGCATCACCAAGATTCCTACTGCCTCCTCCATGCTGAAAATCACTTTTTTACCTGGAGAGAGTTCCGGGGGTCAACGCCCCCGCGGCCCGGTCTGTAACCGGGCCTCCTGGTGGATCAGAGCCTGATCAACCGGGCTGTTGCTGCTGGCTGCACGCAAACCAACGTACAAGCCACAGCCCGGTTGATCAGGAACTGACTTTAGGTGCTTGTCCAGTGCTTGTGTGTGTGTGTGTGTGTGTGTGTTTGTGTGTGCGTGTTAGTTACCATTTTGTCCTAGGCACATGTCGATTAGACACTAGGCCTGTTGTATTTGCGAGTGTGTACTCACCTAGTTGACTCACCTAGTTGAGGTTGCGGGGGTCGAGTCCGAGCTCCTGGCCCCGCCTCTTCACTGATCGCTACTAGGTCACTCTCCCTGAGCCGTGAGCTTTATCATACCTCTGCTTAAAGCTGTGTATGGATCCTGCCTCCACTACATCGCTTCCCAAACTATTCCACTTACTGACCACTCTGTGGCTGAAGAAATACTTCCTAACATCCCTGTGATTCATCTGTGTCTTCAGCTTCCAACTGTGTCCCCTTGTTACTGTGTCCAATCTCTGGAACATCCTGTCTTTGTCCACCTTGTCAATTCCTCTCAGTATTTTGTATGTCGTTATCATGTCCCCCCTATCTCTCCTGTCCTCCAGTGTCGTCAGGTTGATTTCCCTTAACCTCTCCTCGTAGGACATACCTCTTAGCTCTGGGACTAGTCTTGTTGCAAACCTTTGCACTTTCTCTAGTTTCTTCACGTGCTTGGCTAGGTGTGGGTTCCAAACTGGTGCCGCATACTCCAATATGGGCCTAACGTACACGGTGTACAGGGTCCTGAATGATTCCTTATTAAGATGTCGGAATGCTGTTCTGAGGTTTGCTAGGCGCCCATATGCTGAAGCAGTTATTTGGTTGATGTGCGCTTCAGGAGATGTGCCTGGTGTTATACTCACCCCAAGATCTTTTTCCTTGAGTGAGGTTTGTAGTCTCTGGCCCCCTAGACTGTACTCCATCTGCGGCCTTGTTTGCCCTTCCCCAATCTTCATGACTTTGCACTTGGTGGGATTGAACTCCAGGAGCCAATTGCTGGACCAGGTCTGCAGCCTGTCCAGATCCCTTTGTAGTTCTGCCTGGTCTTCGATCGAGTGAATTCTTCTCATCAACTTCACGTCATCTGCAAACAGGGACACCTCAGAGTCTATTCCTTCCGTCATGTCGTTCACTTAAACAAGATGGGTCCTACACAGATGACAGCAAGGAAATGAGTGAGCTACTCAAGTCCCAATATGACTCAGTTTTTAGCAAGCCGCTAACCAGACTGAGAGTCGAAGATCAAAATGAATTTTTTATGAGAGAGCCACAAAATTTGATTAACACAAGCCTATCCGATGTTATCCTGACGCCAAATGACTTCGAACAGGCGATAAATGACATGCCCATGCACTCTGCCCCAGGGCCAGACTCATGGAACTCTGTGTTCATCAAGAACTGCAAGAAGCCCCTATCACGAGCCTTTCCATCCTATGGAGAGGGAGCATGGACAGGGGGGTCGTCCCTCAGTTTACTAAAAACAACAGACAAGCCCCACTCCACAAAGGGGGCAGTAAAGCAACAGCAAAGAACTACAGACCAATAGCACAAACATCCCATATCATAAAAATCTTTGAAAGGGTCCTAAGAAGCAAGATCACCACCCATCTAGAAACCCATCATTACACAACCCAGGGCAAACATGGGTTTAGAACAGGTCGCTCCTGTCTGTCTCAACTACTGGATCACTACGACAAGGTCCTAAATGCACTAAAACAAAAAGAATGCAGATGTAATTAATAAACAGATTTGCAAAAGCCTTCGACAAGTGTGACCATGGCGTAATAGCGCACAAAATGCGCGCTAAGGGAATAACAGGAAAAGTCGGCGATGGATCTTTTAATTTCCTCACTAACAGAACACAGAGAGTAGTCGTCAACAGAGTAAAGTCCGAGGCAAACTACGGTGAAAAGCTCTGTTCCACAAGGCACAGTACTAGCTCCCCTCTTGTTCCTCATCCTCATATCCGACATAGACAAGGATGTCAGCCACAGCACCGTGTCTTCCTTTGCAGATGACACCCGAATCTGCATGACAGTGTCTTCCATTGCAGACACTGCAAGGCTCCAGGCGGGCATCAACCAAATCTTTCAGTGGGCTGCAGGAAAAACAATATAAGGTTCAACGATGAGAAATTTCAATTTCTCAGATATGGTAAACATGAGGAAATTTAAATCTTCATCAGAGTACAAAACAAATTCTGGCCACAAAATAGAGCGAAACACCAACGTCAAGACCTGGGAGTGATTATGTCGGAGATCTCACCTTCAGGACCATAACATTGTATCAATCGCATCTGCTAGAAAAAATGACAGGATGGATAATGAAACCCTTCAAAACTAGGGAGGCCAAGCCCCTGATGACACTCTTCAGGTCACTTGTTCTTCTAGGCTGGAATATTGCTGCACCTTAACCACCTTCAAGGCAGGTGAAATTGCCGACCTAGAAAATGTACAGAGAACTTTCACGGCGCGCATAACGGAGATAAAACACCTCAATTACTGGAGCGCTTGAGGTTTCTAAACCTGTATTCCCTGGAACGCAGGAGGGGGAGATACATGATTTATTTCACCTGGAAAATCCTAGAGGACTAGTACCGAACTTGCACAAAGAAATCACTCCACTACGAAAGCAAAAGACTTGGCAGACGATGCCCATCCCCCCCAAAGAAAAGCAGGGGTGTCACTAGCACGTTTTAAAAGGGCCATACAATAAGTGTCAGGGGCCCGAGGGGGTGTTCAACTGCCTCCCAGCACACCCTAAGGGGATTACCAACAGACCCCTGGCAGTCTTCAAGCTGGCACTGGACAAGCACCTAAAGTCAGTTCCTGATCAGCCGGGCTGTGGCTCGTACGTTGGTTTGCGTGCAGCCAGCAGCAACAGCCTGGTTGATCAGGGGCTGATCCACCAGGAGGCCTGGTCACAGACCGGGCCGCGGGGGCATTGACCCCCGAAACTCTCTCCAGGTAAACTCCAGGTAAACAAATACCAGAAACAGCACTGGTCCTAGGACTGACCCCTGCGGGATCCCGCTGGTCACAGGTGCCCACTCTGACACCTCGTCACGTACCATGACTCGCTGCTGTCTTCCTGACAAGTATTCCCTGATCCATTGTAGTGCCTTCCCTGTTATCCCTGCTTGGTCCTCCAATTTTTGCACCAATCTCTTGTGTGGAACTGTGTCAAACGCCTTCTTGCAGTCCAAGAAAATGCAATCCACCCACCCCTCTCTCTCTTGTCTTAATGCTGTCACCATGTCATAGAACTCCAGTAGGTTTGTGACACAGGATTTCCCGTCCCTGAAACCATGTTGG